TAGTTTGAGTATATGGTGATTTTCAATTTATGTATAAAAATACTTTTCTTCATCTTATAATTTTCTTGACCCAGTGATGTTCTTGTAATCTTGTTATTTAGAAAACCTTACCTACTTGTTAATGTACTATTAAGAACACAAATTCAGCTCTGGCAATGGAACATGCAAGGCAGACAACAGATCTCGGCAGTTATCAACAAATATGTGACTGACAATTCTTTCTCCCTGACAGTTGTCATAAAATTATAAGTATGACTTTTCATTTAAATGAAAATACATAAAATGTAACCTTTTGCACATGTCTTAAACACGAGAACTTTGTAGTCAAGTGAACACATAAAAAAATTTGCGAGTTTTTAAATATTTAATAACGGCTTTTTATATTATGGTCTTAAAAAATAGTGTTATATTTGTGTATATTTCTGAGGTGAAAAAGCAACTCTAATGGAATCGGTATATGTAAAGGTTTGTATGTGTTGAGTGTTTTTTTGTTTGCATTTGTATTCATTATTTTTAAATAACTAACTTGACACATGTCTAGATATTTACTTATTCATCAAATTGTTTTTGATCAGTGTTTTGTCTTCTGGGTGATAGATGAAGGAAAACTGTTAATATAATAATAATTTTCTAAAGTTAGCCATTATTATTTTTTATACATGTCAGATATGTGTCAGTTTGCTTGAAAGAAGTGAATTATTGAATATGTTCTAAATATATAAAATGTAAGAAATAAGTCACAGGTTATAAGGTGTGAAGAATAACACTTTGTAGTTTTAAGTAAAACAAAAAATATATCAGAATATTTATGTATATATAGAAGGTATTTGTGTTTAATTCTATAAGAAAAAATTAAAAATATCTAAACTTCAGAACTTGAATCAGGCACTAGTTTAGAATAGAGGGCTTTTAATAAGACAACCTTTTTTTATTCGAATGTAGGTGGGCAAACCAAGGACTAGAGTTTTTGATTACAGCTTGTGATCCTATGTACTTGCAAACATTATCATCAGATGAGTTTCAGGTAAACTGAACTTTTATTTATTCAAATCTTTCATGACCAACTGATATACAAAACATTGTTGGTGTTTTGCAGAGCTCCTGAGTATCTTAGTCTAATAACACACCAATTGAAATAAAGGCAATTAGTACATGTAACATAAATATAGAAATATTAAAAATGACTGTATATTAGGCCAAAGCTCCAAGACCTGTGTCATGTTCACACCAGTCCATAAACCAATTTAAGTAAAGGCAATTAGTACATGTAACATACATATTAAAATATGAAAAACTACCATATATTAGGCCAAAGCTCCAAGACCTGTGTCATGTTCACACCAGTCCGTAAACCAATTTAAGCATTGTTTTAGTCATGTTCCTCTCAACCAAAGCAACAGTTTAAATATAGTTTAAACAAAGCTCATTCTCAAATGTCCATATGAGTAAACTCTGTTAAACTGTATAATATGCTACTTAATAAGAATGTAATATATTCCAAATTTAGAAGTTGTCAAAAAAGTCATCATTGACTGTGTTGGAAATTAAATATATCATTTAATTCTAGAACTGAATACATCATCTCTTTCAGTTTATAGCTGTGATGCAAACAACTTGGAATAGGACTAACTAACATTAGTATAACATACTCTTAAGTTTATCTAGTGCTGAACATAATTTTAACTTATGTGGTGATGTAGTAGCAAGGCTTTGTCTTAAAACTGTATCATTCATATAAAGGTTACCATCTTGAAGAAATTTATGGGAAAATATAAAATGAGTCAAAGGATGTTTGTAAATGAAAAAAAAACAAAACAATATTTATCAACAATGATAAGAGCTATACATTCTTTCAGATTTTATGTCCATACATTTTTATCATACATATGTTCCAACACTTAGGTAAGAAGCTTAAGGAGCTTTTCAACAAGACATATAAGCATAAATTTTAACAAGACTTTAAAGAAATAAGATACATAAAAACCATACTCACTAAGAAGCTGAGGCTTACATGGTTAGAGCAGAAGACTTGATTTGCTGATTCTGATACAGCTTGGTAGCATCTCGATGCAGGCTCTGAATGTGACTACACCCTGTTTTTATGCAGAATTAGCTGATATTGTCAAGTTTATTCAAATCTTTTATGACTAACTGATATTCAAAGCATTGTTGGTGTTTTTTTATTGAAATGCAGCATGGTCATCACATACTCTGCAAGAACTTATGATTACATGCTTTACATAGTGAACTTTGTTCACTAGGTTTACACCATGCAAGGTTGAGTGCATACTTTTATCCACAACATGCTTATTAGCATCATTATCATGGCTTTCTTTCACCTTACAGTTTTTTCAGACTCGTTAGGAAAATGTTACTTTTCAAAGGTTGTCATTAAACCATTTGACAGCTGGATCTTTCCCAAAGAATTTATACCTTTTCTTGTATTCTCTAGAGAGAAAATCTAACCTTGAATAACATCTTGGCTAACTACGCACAACAGTGACACCTATGTCATTTGTGTGGGAGTATTTGTGTCTGTTTACTCAATCTTTCACTTTCATTTTATAGTTACTATTTCATACTTCTGAGAATGTCTGTAATAAAAATGCTGTAAGAAAACTTCATTGAATTATGTAATATTAGAATATGCCCATTGAAACAGTTCAACAGTAATTTTCCTATAATTAATGATGAATAAGTATAAAATGTGCAGTCAACCCAATCCTTTGGATTAGAGTGTAAATCCAATATGATTCTCTAGTGAGCTATTTACAACTGTTGTTTGTCATTCAAAGGAAAATAGCATTGCATTTGTTTTTAAGCAAATGAGGCTGACTGCAATACATTTGTGGCAAATGTTTTGTTTGGGTTTTTATGCACTGAGTGCATCCAGCACAGTAGATTGCTCCAGTTTGTTAAGCAGCAAAGAGTATTTCTTCTATTAGATGCCATCATTCCTTGTCATTTTACTGAATGCAAGAAAAGACCACTATTAAAGTGAATGCTTTTTTTGACAGTCATCATTTCTATAAGAAGTGTCAAAGGAGAGCTATTCCATTCAAGTCAATATGTTCAATGTTGTACAATATAATCATTCATGTATGTAATACCAAAATGAAACAAATATATACATATAAACCAAGGAATAAGAAATGTATACTAAAACACTTTTCTCTGTCTATGTGTTTTTCTGCTCATGCTCCTATGTTCAAAATACTCCTTCCAATCAATCAACAGAGGAAGTT